AATCAGATCAGTCTCTGTAATATGACTGACCTTTCCATCTCATAGATATCATCTCATTAATCTGCTGTAAATGAGGAACATGCAATCAGAAGACATAATTAACATAGCATGATTATTTTCATATGTCAACTGCTTTGTGATTCAAAGGTTGCTTAAGCCAGTGTACGATTACAGGCGTACGCCGGCTTCTTATATTGTAATCTCATATGCTAAATTAATTAGTGTACACTATGGCCCCTTTACACGCGTACGCTAGTAGTTCAGAAGCAGCCGTGTTATTATCTGACAGTTGTACATTCTTCCAAACCACATCCTCCCCCACCAGATTCGGTCACGCCCATGTGACCATGTCATACATCCTAGCTTCATGCGGATTAGCTCGTCACTAGCATTTCACAATTGTGTGACCTATCTCTGATTCAGCTAGCATCCTGCATACACCCTCACAAAGAAACTTTCACTATATTACATCACTCATTCACTAACTTTTCCCATTCTTCAATCATCATCTTCATCATCATTATCATTGAATGCTACTATCTTATCCAAGATTCCTATCTCTTCTTCTGTTCAACTCTTTCCATCTGTTCATCTATCACATTGTACACATTTCTGACAATGGCCTCTCATTTCCACAACAAGCATCATCATAGTGCTCATACCAGGCAGTTTGTTAGCAGTAAGTGTAACATGTTATGAAATATGATCAGGACTTGTTTATCTTCTAATAATCATCAGAACAACATATTATCATAAATGATGACACATCTTCTTCACCTTCTTATACATTCTTGATCATTTCTTCTTCTCAGTGAGTTTCTGATTGTGTTTCCTGGCATGATTTTGCATGGACACAGATACTGATGTTTGTTTTTATTTGTGTAGAATCTTCACATGTTGACAGATCTGCATCTGCTGATAATAGTGAACTCAGTGTTGAATCATTGATCAAGAACTTGGAGAATGTGATAATAGAGGAATTGCCTGTGTCATGTGTGGCCAGGTCTTCAGTGTCCCTCCCTGCCTCTTCTGCCACTTCTTCCCCTGCTGCTCTCCCTCAATCTTCTACACTTGCCCCTGTGTCTGGTTCCCCCACTCCTGCTACCCCTGTTCCTGCGACCTCTACTCCTGCTACTCCTGGTTTTACTGTCTCTGCCTTCCTTACCAGCTCTCCCTGTTTCAAGGAGATGTTGCATAGGCTCAGTGAATCACATTTCTCAGTGTGTATGCTCCCACTCTTCTTACCAACTCCTAGAATGATTTATTGCATGAAGACTGTGTATGACATGACTATCTGAAGCTCAGTCACAGACACTGATTATTATGTTTATTTTAAATATTCATGATGAGACAATTATTCATTCATATCAGAGAATCACCCCCTCTCTCAACAGTGTCAAGATTGTAAGTCTTTTTCTTTTTCATCTTTTCTTTCTGACACTGATTTTTCTGTTCTTAGGGAAAATTGTTATGGGTTTTACTGTGCATGAAGTTGTGATATTCACAGATATTAAGGAACTTTTTACAACTGTAAAGTTTAACATTGTGAAAACATTCACTCTGATGAATTTCTTTGAAATGATAGATCTGTATTGATCTATCCTCTAGTGTCTATTGTCTGACTTCATGGTGCAGGCAAAAGATATCTGTGTTTTCAGAAATGAGAATGTGAATGTTATACTCTTTTACACCTGCAGGCATGAGGCTCATACACCTTGTCTGAGGTGTTGTTGTGAGAATGAGCTGTTCACACACTGTGTTCCTGCTTCCT